GCTCCACCAAACACTGTCCACCATGGGTAACCATTATCGCATTTGACATATCAATCTCAGAGCATTTAGCATCACAGCAACCACAAGTTACCTCTGTACAGCAAATGAACAGACCAGTGCTATACCACTTAGAATACTTCCCCCATCTATTATATAAGCAACTATAGCTACTAGTATCCACTAAATTTTTCTAATGATGTTTAATTCACAAACAAATATAATTAAGAAATTTTTAATGCTCTTTTTTTGCATTAAACGAACACATACAGCTTATAAATATTGGCACAGACTTAGGATATAAACCAAGTTAAACAATTACACTGTTAAAATAGTTCCTGCCATAGATCCTAGAATCCAAAGCAGTCTGTAGAAAAATGATAAACAAAAAAATAAGCTTATCTCACCATCTTCTCAAATATCTGATAGAGATTGACATCTTTAATTTGGTTTTATGTATTACAGCTATTTTTGGCAGAAAAACCACAGTGCTCCTGAATCTGCTATATTGTATTCTATTTCCTCACATTGGCCCTCTCTTCCATCAAAGTTGGATGCTGCATATGAAGCTTATGCCAAGGACACTGTCTTTGTATTTAAAGGTGAATATTATATAAGAATTTTTAAGTTGTTGAAAGAAATATTGTTGCAATAATTTCATCAGTACATGAAGATTTTTGATCCTGTTAAATGTTTCATGATTTTTTGTTTTGTCTTTATTGCCAAAAGATCTAGTGCTACTACTTAAATTACAATATCTGTGTAGAATATTATATGCTTACTTTAAAATATTCCATGGGACCTACATAACAGAGGAAAATATATATTCATAGGTCAAAAATCCCCAATATTAAAAAATTTATCCTTTATCTATAGTTACAAGGCAATTTCAATGAAAATCCTAAAAAGCTTTTCTTGGAACTTGGCGAAGAACTAAGGTGCTGGATAACCACAAAAAACCAAAAACGCACTTTGTTACATATCAGAACTCTTGTGGCCTACTTGGTAATGAGTTGTGTTACACAATACTGACGTTTATCTTTGAAGATTACACATCAAGGCATTATAAAGCTTTGGGGTTTTGAGTGCCATTGAGCCAGAACTGACCTTACGCTGACCCTCAAGTGGGTTTTTAAATGCAGTTAACTGCTAGGGAGGAGATTACTTATACTTCTTTGTTAAGTGCCTGGTAGGTTTGAACCTAGTGCCTTCAAAGTTTCTTAACAGATAATTGTGATATGTGGTATCACAACAATGAAACACTGTTGTCATGGAGTTGATTCAACCACATAGTTGACTCTTTATGATAGAGAGGAACTGCCCTCTAGCATTTCCAAGACTACCGTCTTGGCAGAAGCTGACGGACAAGCATTTCTCCTAATAACGTTCTGAAGGTTTTAAACCATAAATCTTTCAATTGAGAGCATAAAATTTTAACAATTGTATACCAGAGTTGTTCAATATTAGAGCAGGAACAGATAAATTGACTAGTATTTTGTCATTTTATTAATGAATTAACTTTAGGTTTTGTTATGTTGTTTTTGTTGTTATGTGCCATCATGTCACCTGTGACTCATAGTGACCCTATGTACAACAGCCCTAAACCCTGCTCTATCCTATGCCAATCACACTGCCTCTGACAAACCCATCCCAATTACCCCAGTCACTGAATCAATTCACCTCATAGAGGTTCTTCCCCTCTTGTGCCATCCCTCCACTCTCCCAAGCATGATGTCCCTCTCCAAGGACCTATCCCTCCTTATGACATGTCCAAAGTATGTCAGACGAAGCCTCAGAATCTTTGACTCCAAGGAGCAGCCTGATTTAACCATTCTCCAGAATGAAAATGTTTGTTCTTTTATCAGTCTATGGTATATTCAATTCTCTTTTTCAACACCACAGCTCAAAGGCATCAATTCTCCTTCTATCCTCCCTAGTCCTTGTCTAGCTCTCTGATCCATAGCAAGTGATTACATAGACCATGGCCTGTATCAGGTGTACCGTATAGTTTCATTTAATTTCATTTCTATCCCATATACTTAGTATAACCATAAGTTTGCTACTTAACTCATTAAATTGCAGCTTTTCCTTTTTTAGAAAGTCTTTTTAAGAAAGAAAAATAGAATTTTTATTGTTTATTTAATCATAATTTGAGTAAAAGTTAAAAGTCAATTGGTTTTTCATTCACCCTTTACAAGTCCTGTTTATGACATTCATTAGAATACTCACAATGTGACTGCACTCTTCTCATTCCTCCTTGAGATTCCTGTTTCCGATCCTACCTCTTGCTGCTTCTGAGCTTTATCTCTGACTCCTGCCCTTTTGATCTTACTCAATCATATATTTTTCTTTTGACAAATAATTTTTCTTTTATACTGGTTTCCTTACAAAGTTCATATACATTGTTTTCACACCAGTTCTTATTTTCTCCACCCTTCCCTCTAATTGTCAAATATAGTGACCTTAAGATTATCCCCTGCCTGTCCTCACCCTTCTGCTCCTACGCTTTCCCCCTTGGATCCTCATACCTGTTTTACTAGTTATCTTTCCATTTCTACAATAATGGTCTTTTACAGCATTTGTCTTCATGGGACTGAGTTAGTTCACTTAGCATGTTATCCAGTCTCTCCCCCGCCCAAAAAAAATTTCTCAATCCATTCAGCTGTGTTTGGGTATTTGGGATGCTTCCACGTTTTTGTGATGGTGAGTAGCACTGCTATTAATAATAATAAAAAAATACTGAAGCAGGATGCACACTTTTCACCATACACAAAAATCAATTCACGATGGATCAGAGGCATAGGGCTAATGCCCAAAATCGTAAAGATCATAAGAGATAAGATTTGAAGGTCTTATCTCACAGTATATAAAGTATGACAAAGTTAGAAATAAACAACCAGGAGAGAATTAAAAAACAAAAGAAAAAAAAAAACCACAACCAACCAGACTGATGAATTGGATCCTCTAAAGATCAAATATCCTTGTGCATCAAAAACACTTTCCAACAGAGTGAAAAGAAAACCCACTCAGTGAGAGAAAAAAAATAGCAATAACATCTCAGACATAGGTCTCATAACAAAAGCTTACAGAATCCTATAGGGACTTCCTTATCTTTTATGGTGGTTTTTATCCTGTAGTCTATTTTATCAGAGATTAGTATTGCCACTCCTGCTTCTTATTTAATTTTTTTCTTTTATATTGATTTACTTAAAAAGTTTGTATGCATAGTTTTTCACACCAGATCTTTCCCATTTCCTTTACCCTCCTCTCCCTCCACCCATCAAATTGTGAGCCCCTATGATTGACTATGACTACCTTTCACCCCCTGCCCATTCTCACCCTTCTGCTCCGCCCCCCTTGTATCCTCATACACATTGTATAGTAACAGTCTTATACAATATTTGTCCTTATGGGACTGAGTTAGGTCACTTAGCATAATGCTCTCCAGTCCTTCCCACATTAGTTAGTGATTTACAAAATCACTGCTTCTACATGCTACATAGTATTCTATTGTGTGAATGTACCATAATTTCTCAGTTCATTTGATTGCTGTTGGACGTGCTGGCTGTTTCCATGTTCTTGCAGTGGTGAATAATGCTGATATGAACATTGGTGTACATGTCTCCCTTTGTGCCTCAGTTCTCATTTTCTCAGTGTATACTCCAAGCAATGGAATATTTGGGTCATATGGGATTTCTAAATTCAGCTTTCTGAAAAAAAAAACATTAAACTGCCTTCCATAGTGGTTGTACTATTTTTACAATGCCACCAACAATGTATAAGAGTTCCTATCTTGCCACATCCTCTCCAACATTTATTACTTGCTATCCTGTTAGATGTTCCCACTGCTACTGGAGATGGTATCTTATTGTAGTTTTAATTTGCATCTCTTTATTGCCAGTGATTTTGAGGATTTCTTCATTATCTGTTGGTGATCCAAATATTTTCCTCTGTGAAAATCATTTTGTGATTGTGTCTTTTTCTTGTGAAGGCCCTTTAAGATTCTGTAAACGTTTGATGGGAAACCATTGTCTGAAATTATATTGCCAAATCCTTTTCCCAGTCAGTTGGTTTTCTTTTCAGTCTTCTGGAGAAAGCTTTTGATGCACACAGGGATTTAATCTTTAGAAGGTACCATTCATCAATTTTATCCTCTCTAGATTATGTACTTCTTTCTGGCTGTATTTGGCAGTCTCTTCATACCACAAACTAGGACATTTAAGCTTGATCCTAGTTTGTCTGTGATGAACTTTATGGTTTTCACTTTATTCCCATGTCTCTGATCCACCTTGAGTTGATTTTTGTGTATGGTATGACATGTAGGTCCTGTTTAGCTTTCTGCAGGAAATAGTCCACTTATGCCAGCACAGTTTGTTAAAGAGGTTGTCATTTCCCCATTTGATAAATTTTATTTCCTTGTCAAATATCAGTTTACTGTAGACAGCTGGGTCTCTTTTGGGGTTCTCAATTCTGTTCCATTCATCTATGTGCCTGTCACTGCACCAGTATCATGCAGTTTTCATGACTGCCACTGTAGTAGGTTTTGAGGTCAAGGAATGCAATGCCTTCCACTTCATTTTTGCTTTGCAGAAGTGTTTTGCTTTTTTGGGCTCTCTTTCCTGTCCAAACAAATGTCACACATTTCCCTTTTGATCTCCTTGAAAAGTGAATTTGGTATCTAGATTGGGATTGCATTGAATATGTAGATTGCTTTTGGTAGGAATGTCACTTTTACAATGAGCAGGACACATTTTTCCCATTTATTTAGGTCTTTTATTGTGTCTTGCAGAAATGTTCTATAATTGTCTTTGTACCAATCTTTTGTGTCTCTAGTTAAGTTCACTCCCAAATATCTCAATTAGTGGTTGGCTATTGTAAATGATATTGCTTTCTTGGTTTCCTTCTCAGTATTCTCTTTGTTACTATAGAGGAATCTCACTGATTTTTTTTAATATTGATCTTAAGTCCTGCCACTCCACTAAATTGGTCTACTAGTTCTAACATGGTTGTTTGTTTTTGTTTTTTGGTTTTTTGGGGGTTGGCGGTTTGGGTTTTTTGGTTTTGGGGTTGGGTAATGGGTGGGTTTTTGGGGGTTTTTTTGAGATCTTGAGGCTTTTTGTGTACACTATCATATCATCTCCATATAGTGATAGTTTAGTCATCTCTTTGCCGATCTGGATGACTTTTCCTAGCAAGCATTTCCAATACTAGGTTAAATAAAAGTTGTGACAATGGGCATCCTTGTCAAGTCCCTGCTCAAAAGGAAAGTGCTTTCAGTCGTTCTCCATTGAGAATGATGTTGGCTCTTGGTTTTGCCTGTATACTTTTCATTATGTTGAGGAAATTCCCTTCTGTTCAATTGTTCCATGTGTCTTTATGAGGAAGGGGTGTTGGTATTTGTCAAATGACTTTCTGAATCAATTGCTACGATCATGTTGTTCTTGTTATTTGTTTTATTAATGTTGTAAATTACATTGATTGTTGAACCATCTTTGCATACCTGTTATGAATGACATGTGGTCCTGATGAATTATTTTTCTGATGTGCTCTTGGTTTCTATTGGCTATAATTTTGGTATTTTCACCTTTATATTCATGAGAGATACTGGTCTGTAGTTTTCTTTTTTGGTAATATCTTTGCCTGGTTATGGGAGTGTTCCCTCTTTTTCTATTTTTTTTTAAATACTTTACATAGAATGTGTGATAAATCTGTGAATGTTTGGTAGAATTTAGCTGTGAAGCTATCTGGTCAAGGACTTATGGAGACTTTTTAATTTTTTTTAATAGAGAAATATTTTTATGTCCTGTTCAATTTCTTCTTCTGTGTGGTTCTGTTCAAGTGTTCTATATCTGTCCTTTTCAATCTGGGTAAAGCATGAGTTTCAAGGAATTTGTCCATTTCCTCTGGGTTTCTTAATTTATCAGAGTATAGCTTTTCATAGTATTCCAATAGTATTGCTTTATTTTCATCCGGGTTTTGGTGATATCACCTCTATTATTTCTTTAAAGGAGTTATATGTGTCTTCTCTTTTTTTGTTCTTTTAAGTTTGCTAAGAGTTTTTCAGTTATATTGGCATTGTGGTCTGAGAAGATACTTTGTATTATTTCAGTGTTTTTGAATATGTTGAGGTTTGCTTTGTGTCCTAATATGTGGTCAATTCTGGAGAAAGCACCACGTGCACAAGAACTAAGTTAATTGAGTTTTATTTGGGTACAGTACTCCGAAATCCACAAGGTCAATCTGGCTGATTTTATAGTTTATATCTTTTGCATCTTTGTTGAGTTTCTTTTGAGTTGACCTACCTCTTGGTGGTAGTGGTGTGCTGAAGTCTTCTAACACTCTTGTGGTGCTATTTCTTTCTTTCATTCTATTAACCTTTGTTTTGTGTATTTTGCAGGTCTATCACTTGGTGCATAAATGTTGACCAAGGTTGTCTCTTCTTGATCTAGTGTGCTTTTATCCCATATTAATTCCCTTCCTTATTTTTCCTGGTGGTTTTCACTCAGAAGACTTATCAGAGATTAGTATTTCCACTCCTGCATTTTTGTGGTTGTCATTTTCTAAGTATTTTTTTTCAGCCTTTGATTTTGCGTCTGTCTTTCTCTCCATTTTCCAGATGTGCCTCTTATAGGCAACATATGGATGGGTTTTTTTTATTTTATCCATTCTACTATGCTTTTTCTCTTAATTGGTGCATTTAGTCCATTAACATTAAATGTTGTTATTGTCAGGCGAGGTTTTTTCCCCCCATTATCATTTTGTTTGGTTTCTTTTTCTATTGTTTCTTGTTACTATGGTCCATTTCTTTTCTTTGGTGTCTGCATATAAAGTACTTCACTTAAAATTTCTTATAGTTTTGGTCTTCTTTTTACAAATTCCTTAAATTCCTTCTTTTCTGCAAAGGATCTAATTTCTCCTTCATATTTGGTCGAGAGTTTTGCTGGGTATAGAATCCTTGGCTGGCAATGCTTTTCTTTCAACTTTCTGTATAATGCCATCCCAATGTCTTGTGACTTGCATGGTTTCTGCTGAGCAATCAGAACTTAGTCTGCTTATTTCTCCTTTGTAGGTGTCTCTACATTTTTCTTGTCCTGTTTTTGGTATTCTATCCTTACCCTTTAATTTGGAGAATTTGCCTATGATATGTCTTGATGCTTTTATTTTTATGTCTAATCTATTTGATGCTCACAGTGATTCTTTAATGTAGATTTCTTCATTCTTCAAAATACCAGGAAAGTTTTCTTCTTGTACTTCTTCCATAGTTTTCTTGGTGACTTCCTTGTCATTCCTTCTGGAGCTTAAGAAACCCCACATGATGTAGTTAGAAAGCAGAATTTAAGGCTAAAGTATATGTGATATTGGTGCTCCTGGTGCTGGACTGAGTGGCACAAGGCTGTTTCCAGGCAGTGGGGGTGTAGTCTAAAATTGAAGCTCCTCAACCTGGCAGGCAGTGGTTCTGTCGCTTGCCAGGGTGTGAGGGCACCTGAGCTGGGTTGCAACTTTTAGCAAATACCAAGGAAGTGGTGGCTGGAAGACTCTCCTGTGCCACACAGGCCTTGGTGGATTACAGCAGAGTAAAAGTAATGTCCCCAAAGAAGGGAGTCCCTCCAGAGGTACCAGTCTTGCAAGAGGAACAGGTCTCCATTTAAATTTTTTAAGTGAATTTTAAGTTACTTGGTGAATTTTTAAATGTCCAATTCTACATGTATTTTAGGGTTTTTATTCATTTCTGACATAATTTTCTCTTTCTTTGGATTAAATGCAAGGGAGTAAGATGTCATGATAATTTAAAAATCATTATTAAATCACTATAAATCATTGCTACTGCCCATTAGTGTTTATTTGTCTAGAAACTTTTACTTGTATTCCATGTGCTGTGTGAGTCAGTAGAGATCATAACTAAAAGGGGCTCATAATCTAGAGAGGAAACAGAGAGAACATCATCAACACCAACCCCAGATCATTGAGTCAATTCCAACTGAAAGCAAACTTCCATTGGATTTATGAGGCTAGGATTCTTAATGGAAAAAGGCTGTTCATCTTTCTCCCACAGAGATGCTGGTGGTATGAAATTGGAGATAGTACAGCTATTTGGTTAGCAATGATGGGATTGACTGAATCTAGGCACCAAGGGAATCCAGGATAATCCAAGATTGATCAGCAATTCCTGAAGAGATGTTATACTTGAAATAAATCTTAAAGGAGAAGAGCTTTCCTATGTACCAAGAAGAAAGTATGCAGAATTTCTTCAAAAGTGAGGGTTTCTCTGGAATTTCTCAGACTAGTACAAATCATTCACTACAATCCCAGCAAGAGAAATACACAACAGACTGACATTTTAGAGTGATTGGCCACAAATATAAGGGAGGGATTCAGACGTGGAGCAAGAGAGGAAGAGAAAAAAACAAAGACATAGAAAATGATGGGAGAACATGCTCCAAATATACCCAAGTTTGAGTGGATTCTAGAGATACAACACAGATTTTACTTGGTGACAATGACAAATTCAAAGGGAAAAGTCCAGTAAGAAATTGGCGTGTGCATAGGGGATTAAAAAGAAAAAAAAAAACTAGAATATAAAGTCAATTTAAGTTGTCATGAAGGAAAGGACTAAGATTTATGGCTCTATTTATGAATAATAGATTTAATGCATAAAGGTTTTCTTATTCATCAATGGCTTTATTCAAAGCATATTTATTGATCATTTCTTATTTGTATTCTTGGTTGAAAAAAACCAAGCTTTCATCTTTAATAAAACAGCACATTAACGTAATTTCTAACACCCAAAGCCTTCAATCAAAATGTTTTGGATTTATTTTTCAATAGAGAATCAGTTCTGGGCCATGAAACTCCTAGAGATGCAAGCAGGTTATCCAAGAAGCATCTACACGTTGGGCTTTCCTCCAACCGTCCAGAAAATTGATGCAGCTGCTTCTGATGAGGATAACAGGAAAACCTACTTTTTTGTAAAGGAGAAATACTGGAGGTAATACAAAATAGGAATGACTTTGTAGGGAGCCTAATTAGAGTGTTTATTTTCTTCTTCTAAAAAAAAAAATCCCTAAATCCTAATCTCTCTAATTTCCTCTAATTTCAGATTTTCTAAAAACAACCAACAATTTTCCATGTCCTAGATATAATAAAGAATTCTCATAAAAGCAGATCACTGAGTGATAGATCCAAGGACCAAAATACATCTGAAGATAACAGCTAATACCAACTAAGGTCCAGACTTCTGTTCAAAGTCATATTTGTCTTGTCTTTCTACTAGTCACCATGTGGCTGCCATTGTTGTTGTTGTATCCCTTCAAGTTAAAATAGATCGCTAATGGATCTTGTGAGTTTTAAGAGGCAAGAAATTGCACAGGAGGAGGTTTTCTATATTTCTCTCATAGAAGACCTGGTGGATTTGAATTGTGTACCTTTACAATGTTAGAAGAATTATCATTTAGTTGCAAAGGAATCTCAAATACGACATGTTCTAGAGACAACGTCTATAGAAGTATAGTAGAAAATCAAGAGGATATTTTTGCCAAATAATTGGTTAATTTACTTTGTTTCCTGTATGTGACCCCCTATGTAAACCCAAATCTCAAAACTCAAACCATTTGCTAATTATTTGATTCAAACATATAACTACTTATCAAGTTTCTGAAACTTCCCATCTTTCTCCTTACAGCTCTGGTAGATTTGATATTTTGGTTACCAGTGCAACACATAACATACAGTACTCATATATTTTGGGCTGAAAAGATAACAAGAAAAGGTGGTACAAATAAGTTTTACACATTCAGGCTTAGAAAACTAACCTCAAACACATAGTTGGACTCTCTAGAATAGCAAGGTATTTATTTGTTAGAGAAAATATGACTTTAAATTATGAACTTAATAAGCCATGGAAAGCCACATTTATTGTAGTACTTTATACAACTTGAAAAGTTTATTGAGGATTTCACACTGGAACATTAATGTTACTTTATGCTGGGAGATAACAGGGAATTCACAAAAACACTAAACTGTATTTCTTCTGGTGCAGATTTGATGAGAATAGCCAGTCCATGGATCAAGGTTTCCCCAGACTAATAACTGAGGACTTTCCAGGAGTTGAGCAAAAGATTGATGCTGTATTTAAAAATTCTGGTAAGAGTATACTGGTTTATTTGTCAATGGAGGCGCCTGTGGACATTTTATGATATAAAGATGAAGTGGAAAGTCAAAACAATTTCCAAAACATTCCTTCTTGTATACTTTCCCCATAATTACCATAAGTCCTTGGTTTACATCAGCATGTAAAATCCAAGAATGATCTCTCACACGACAGACATTTTCTTAAATATATTCATTTTTACTGTTGTTGAGACAGAATCAAGTCATAATTGACCCTCCATTAACTTTCCGAGGCTTGTAAATCAAGTGGGAGAAGATTGTTCAACTTTCCTCAGGGAGTTCCTGTAAATTTGAATATCCAGAGCATCACAATTTCTGGGGTTATTGCAAGATCCCTTCTTATGTGATTGCTATTGTTCCTTACTTTAAATTCAAAACCTATGTGTTGTTGACCCTCTAGTGAGTTTCAGAGGTCATATATCAGATGGGAGGAGACTGTACATCTTTCTCCCTTGCAGCAGGTGGATTCAAACTGCTTTCCTTTGGGTTGGTAGCAAAACTTCTTGTCATAGAGGCCACCAGAGCAGCTCCTTAATGCATATTGCACTAGGTTTTCATATTTATTTGAGTCTAGTTTTTCATAATATCCCATTGTTAGCCTTTTTATTTTAGTTTGTCCTATTGTGACATTGTTTATGACATCTCTAATTCAGATTATTTGTGTCTTTTCTTTCTTTTTCTTTGTTAGTTTTGCTTATGGGTTGTCATTTTCATTAACTTTTTCAAAGAAACTACTCCTAGTTTTGTTGATGGTTTCAACTGTTTTTCTGTTTTCTTTTTTTTTTAATTTCTGCCCCAATTTTTATAGATTCCATTTTTTAGAGGGTGTCAGGTTTTCTTGCTTTTCTTTTTCAATTTGTTGGAAATGTTGAGTTAGAGATTCAATGGTCATTTTTTTTCCCTTCCTTTTGATGTGTTTGCTTATTGCTATACATTTACCTCTGTTTAATGTTTTGGCTATTTCCCAGAGGTTTTGGTAAGTTATGTTTTCAGTGTAATTTGTTTCAAGAAACCTTTTAATTTCATTTTT